ATAAATGTTCTTTTTTTCTTATAAAAGTCTAAATAAACAAAAATATTGGTGGAAATTTTTGACTGTGTAACTTTACAAACTGCACCCCATACCTTTCTTGCCAAAATTGTTCAATGTTTTATTACTCAAAGTAGGACGATGATTAGGACCAGACCTCTCCTACTGCAGCAAATATGTTTAAAACTGGCAGTGTTACAATCTGTTACCTGTTGAAGCCATCTGTAAGAGCTTCATGATCATGAAAAGGTCTGAAGAATGCTGAGCTCATACCTTCTTACTTTGCTGATTCTGTATAGAATCATAAAACCTTTTAATTGCTCTCATTTTAAMCTGCTTAAAGCACTTTTGTAATGTTTTACCAGTTGAAACTAAACRTGGGATCTATCTGCTCCTGGTGTTTGGTTGCAGGTTTCCTGAGGGACAAACTGGGGAGCTACGACATGGCCTTCTACCTGGCGGGGATCCCTCCCATCATCGGAGGCATCCTGCTGTGTCTGATCCCCTGGGTGGAGGCCCGCCACAGGAGGAAGGACAAGGAGGCCCAGAGCAAGGAGCAGGGTGCGGATCAGAAGATGATAGAACACCAGAAGCCTCAGGAGGACGTCAAAAACAAAGATGGAGACTCTGTCCTCTAAAGCTGCCCATCGAACTGAGAGACACTCATCGGGTCAGGCTGACCGCCAGTATTATTCTGTTCTTAGCCAAAAATATAAACTGGTAACGCCAGCCTTCACTTCAAACCAAAAACAACATATCAACGCCAAATGTCTTAGAGTGCAAGATGAACGAGCTCCTAAAGAGGCTGAGCTCCCAGCAGGCTGACACCTGCACGTTTTTATCACCTTATACTCGTTAAAAAGCTGCTAATTAGGTCTTTAGTCAAAACCCCACAGGATCCCCTGGAGTCCCTGCAGCTGGTAGAACCCTGCAGTTCTCTCACCAATGATGTAGCTTCAGATGTGCTGAAAACACCAACCTTTTAAATTTCAGTTTGTTGTTCTGTCATGAATGAGACGAGGTTTGACCCGTTCAGTCTGACAGCAGCAGATCTGTGGCCCGTCGGTTCTACAGGGACTTTTACTTCTTATCACTTATCATTTCAGAGAAGAACAAGCTTTGTGTTAATCTTTGATGGTGGGATTATTGAGCCAGAGTTGCTGACTCAGCCTCTCAGGTGACGGCGCTGTCTCTGATCCAGGTAATCTGATCCTCTCTGGACCTTAGACCGGTCCGGCACACATGGATTTATGACCCAGAACAAGAGATGAGCGTCGAATCATTCGTCCCTCCATTTCCTTTAATGTGGATTAAAGGTTAGCTTTACACAAATTAAGAAAAATGACAGCAATTAATTATTTATTAGAATGAAAACTAAACAACAATCTAGAAGATTTGTAATAATCTGGTGTTATGACCCATTCTGTGCCTGAAACCAGCTTAGTGTTTGACTTTCATGTGTTTAAAGTTTAACAGGAATAAAAAAATACATTTCAACTTTAAAGACTTGATGTTTAGATTATCGATTAAATGTTTTTATTTACAGAAAAAAGTCAGATTACAGGATTGTTTACAGAAAGTTCTCAGTATTTAAAGGAAACTGGATTATTATTTTCACCCATTTTCACTCCTCGCTTTTCCAACAGTCATTGTGAAAGACATGTCTTCTGTCCATCACAGAGACCTGGACAGGTTTCAGTCCAGCGGGGACACGTAGAGACATGTCCTCACCACAGCTTATGGTTTTGGGATGTTGGAGAAAACCCACAGGTGCACAGGGAGAACATGAAAGGTCTGTGGGTAAACCTGTGAGGAAACACTGCTCCATGTGTTGGTCGTATTCTGCACAGAATACTTTTTAACATTAAACAAATGAGAAGTGGTTTTTCAAAAATAAATAAACAAATAAGTAAATAAATAAATAAATAAATAAATAAATAAATAAATAAATAAATAAATAAATAAATAAATAAATAAATAAATAAATAAATAAATAAATAAATAAATAAATAAATAAATAAATAAATAAATAAATAAATAAATAAAGTCTCATTTTAATTCGCAGAAAAACTTTAGAGAAAAAGTCGACTGAAATAATTTGTGTGTTGCTGCAGGATTAATTAACCACACCTGCTACCTGTTAAAATATAAAAAACTTCTTGTTATTTTGAAGTTACTGCAGTAAAAGTACACTAACAACCCTCAGATATACAACATCAATAATACACAATAAGTACAGTCTCTGGCTCAGATAAGATGATTTTTCGTTATTTGTTAGTCTTTAAATCAAATTTAGACTTTTTATGTCAATAATATTTAATCTCAGCATTTCAACTTTAATTTGGAAACTAAAAAAACTTCCCAAGTGCCTTAAATACTCAGAAATACAGACGCTTGATGTTTTTTATTTGTTAAATGAGGGGTTCTTCCTATGTCTGCTGTGGCAGCTGGTCAGACTGGAAACCAGTCACAAACTAAAACCTAAACAAGCCTGGAGCTCAGGAATGATTTTATTTTGTGTGTGAAGAAGAGCTGATTGTTTCCTGAAAACAACAAACCAGTTCTTCCTTTAACAGTGTTGGAGCCAACAAGCCTGAAGTCTGATCAACAAGGACACTTTATTGTTTTATTTGTGTTTCTGACAAATGATTATGTTGTTGATATGAAGCTTTTCTTTTTAGTGTCGGGAGTTGTTTTTAATATTTAGATTTTTTGTGATTTTATCTGCGATTTTAAACTCGTTCACTTACAGAGTCCTGATTTTAGATCAGAGAACAGCCGAGCACAGCAGTGTTGGAAAAAGGACCAAAACAAAGCCTATAAAGTCTCCTGTTTGAAGATCACCTGACTTTGTACAGAATTTATGACTCATTGACCTGCCGTATCTGAGAGGCACAGATTCCCTGTGGACTGTACGACCATCAGGAGAGCTAAACCCAGTTAATCATCAGCTCTGAGCACAATCCATTAGTCCTCAGCAGGAAGCTGTTAATTCTGTTTGTTTATTTTAGTCATGACAACCAACGAGCTTCACCTGTGGCCTTATTCTGATGATCTGTTCACCTGCCCACTGAGGCTGAGGCTACTTTACTGAGGCTGAGGCTACTGTACTGAGGCTGAGGCTACT